CGCCACAATGTGACCTGAAGGGGGTATTCTGGCAAACAGCCGGGAGAAAGCAGTCATCCACACCTTCCCGCTAGCAAGGACCAGGAGTGATGGGCTGGCCTGAGCCCGTCCTCCAGGGAGGCTCCGCTGATGGGGGAGGGGGATCCTAGGTGTGTGGGGGGAGGACATGGCACCAGACGGTGGGCACCAGCTGGCCCTGAAGAGTGATCCTGGCACTGCGAGGTCAAGGCCTGCCTCTGGGCAACCCGTTGGGGGCTCTGGCCTGGGGCGGGGGGGTTGGCCTGGGACGCGGGGGCCCCGGGGGCGCTGGTCCGCTAGTCCAGTGTGCGGCTGCTCTCCTTCCTTCGCGTGGATCCGCCTCCAAGTACACCCACGCGCTGCCGTTGGTCCCCTACGACCCGCCCCACCCCTGGGCGGATGCCACCCGCCTGCAGGTAGGGGCTCCGGATGCCGCCTGGCTCCCAGGGGCCGACCCTCCCACGGATTCCGCCTGGGCCACCAGGTGAGTGGGTGTCCTATCCGACCACCTCGGGATCCTGCTCCCTGCTCCTGCGGCGCCCGCCCCCCGCCCCCGCCCCCGCCCCGCGCTTCTTCCCCGGCATCTGCACACTAACCTTCTCAGCCGCATGGTGGGGGCGGGACCGCGGGTCGCGGGAGCCTTCGGGCCTCGGGAGACCTCGGGTCGCGGGAGCCCTCGGGCCTCGGGAGACCTCGGAGCGCGGGAGACCTCGGGCCTCGGGAGACCTCGGAGCGCGAGAGACCTCGGGCCGCGGGAGCCCTCGCAGCGCTGGAACCCAGCTGTAACTGCGCGCGCGCGCACCTCCGACGCTCTGAGCTCCAAGCCAGTCGCGGGGCCGAGTGCTTTCCGTGGCCCCTGCCCGGGCCTCGCCTCTGATCCCACCCCCTGCCCAGTCCCTCCCACGATGGCCGTGGGCGGGGCCAGCGGAACGGAAGCTCTGTCACAAGCTCCACAAGTTCGTCTTCCCCGGCCACGGACGCTGGGCAGGGACCTGGGCGCTAAAGGTGTCCCGGGAAGTTTGGGGGAGTGGGGTGGTGGTGCGTGATACCAGGGAGGACGGCGGCCGAGGGCTCTGTGGGAGGCTTGCCAGGCTGCAGGGGCCGTGGGAGGCCAAGTGCTGTCCCCCAGTGTCGCGCAGACCGTCCGCGCCCCCAAGCGCCCGGGGCCGCGGCGGCGCCTACTGAGCACCCGGCCCCAGGAACACACGCTTCCCTGCCCGAGGCTGGGCTGGTCTGAGTGCCCGCCGTCCTCCCCCCTCCCCTGCCTCCCTCGAACGGGAGTCAGCACCTCCAAGTCTTAGGGGAAGTAAGAGCCCCGTTTAGGAACGAGTGAATGACTAGAAGGAAGGAGGGAAGGTAGGCGGTCTCTGCTGTCCAGTCCAGCGCCAGGTCCGGGAGGCCCGCCCCCAGCTTGGCCCCCTTATTCTTTGGGGGGATCCTGTGCCATAAGCCACGGCATATGTGGATATTAAAGGCTCTGAGGGGCCCACTGCGTGGAAACCAGTTCACGTCTGCTCCTCCAAGGCTGTGGGACTTGGCACTCCTGTTTTCTCTCTGGGAAAGTGCGCGAAGCCGCGGAGCGCGGGTTAAAAGCCCCGTTTGCTCCCTTCCCCCACCCCGCCCAGCTCCCTCGGCCTCCTCTCTGCGCTGCCGGGCTGAGTCACTGTCCCACCCCGTCCCCCGCAGGCCAGGCAGGGCCAGTGAGGTGAGGTAGGTGGGGCCACGAGGGAGTAGGGTGCTCTTCTTGCAGAGGCTGCCCCTGGAAGGGCCTGGAATCCCAGACGTCCCGCCTCTGGTGTCCGGGGAGCTGGCAGGGGCAGTGTGTCCTCCCAATACCCACCCCCCCACCCTCTCCAAGTCCGCTACCCAGGCTGATGGGGAGGCAGAGGCCGGCCTCTGGGGAGGGGGGCGCAGGAGACGGCAGGGTGTGAGGGGAGGGCCAAGCAAGGAGGGCTCCCCAGACCCCAGCCTCCTCCAGCAGCCTGCCATCCACTCAACAAAGATGTAGGTGCACCTCCTGCAGGCCAGGTGCTCCGTGAGCGCAAGGATGAACTCTGAAAACAGACCCTCTGCTCCATGGAAGTTAGTTAGCATTCCTGTGGAAACCGGAGAGGAAGCAGGGGCGCGACGTCCAGGAGCCGCCCAGGAGGACGCGCAGGGAGGAGGGGCCTGCAGGTGAAACCCGGCCGGGAGGGACTGGGAATGCAGTCCTAGAGCTCGGGGCTTCACCCCTTCCGGGCAGGCTAGGAAATTAGGGTGCAGGATTTAAACAGGCCAAGCGGGGCCACCCTCCCCTTTAGCAAGGAGGGCACAGCCAGGGAGCCAGGCCAGGACTCCGTTCACGTGTCCAGTGAGGGCACCGGCCGCCTGAACTTGGGGCGCCATGAAGGGGCCGGGAGACGGGGGCCCAGAGGGAAGGTAAGATTTGGCAGAGCAGGGTGTGGTCATAAATCAAATCATACGGAGGTCTCAGGACGCTTCCTATTCCCAGAACCGGAAAACCACTGCCATCCAAAGCGCAGCTTGAACAAATGTAGCCGGGTACACTTGGGGGAGGGGCACCGGCTCAGGCCCGCGGGTCTGGAAGGAGACACGATGTCGGCGGCCCTGCTGCCCCTCGGGTTGGCGGCAGTTGGCGGCAGAGAACCCGTTTGGCGAGGGCCAGCCGGGGCAAAATCCGCAGGTGAGTTGGATCGCCGGGCTGGGAACACCTCCCCCTCCCAGACTTCCCGGGTCCAGCCCCCCACCCCCACCCCGCAAATCCCGGGACTCCCTCTGATTGGAAGGGGGAGGGGCTAGGCTGCATTGATTGGCCGACGCCTGGGTTGAGCTCTACCTCCGGAGGGCCCCCCCGCGAGGAGCCCACGCTGCCCCGGGGGTTGGAGGGCGGAGAGGGGCGGGCCCAAAGGGCAAGGGGCTTTTAGGCGCGGGGAAGGGAAGGTGCCCAGTCGGGTGGGTAGGTCCGGAAGCCCGAGGCGGCCCGGCCACCGCCCCAGGGCAGCGGGGAGGGAGGGCGGGATGGGGAGAGGGGCTCGAAGGGGCTAACCTGCAGAGCTGAGGGGTGCCGGCTCTGCTTCCTGGGCAGCAGCCCCTCATGCCAGGCCCCAGGCCAGGTGCTGCTACCAGGGCAGTCCAGAACGGGGACCGAGGGAACATCCTGTTTGTTGAGCAGGTAGAGAAGGGGCAGGGATGCAGGTGGCTGGAAGGGGCCTTCTAGCCAGGCTTGGGGCCGTGGGGGGAAGGAGCACCTCCAAGACCAGCCGCAGGAACCTCAGCCTGATAAGTGCATGTTCTATTCACATCCCAGCTCTGCTTCTCAGGAGCTGTGTGACCTGGGGCAAGTTACTTAACTCCTCTGTGCTGGCATTTTCCCATTTGTGAAGTGGAAATAGTTAACAACACCTTCCTCAAAAAGCAGCTGAGTTCATATGTGGCTATTGTGAGTTGATACGTATAAAACATTCACACGGACGCTAGCCCGTGGGTCACAAACACAGAGTTATTTTAAGACAAATGGAAAAACAGAACAGCCCTCGGAGGCTCCCTGCAGCTGAGAGGTTTTCCTTTCTTCCCCTTGACCGTGACCATGTTTCTCCGGCAGTCAGAGGGTGTGGAGGCAGAAGCCCACTGGAGGAACATCTAGGCCGCCCTGGGCACCAAGCTGGAATGGTATTGGTGGTGGGGATTGCCGAGTTCTCGGTGCAGACGTGGAAGGGAGCGGCACGTGCTTTGATGCTAGAGACCCAGGCTTTCCCCTGGGCGGTCCTGAGCAGCTCCCTGGGGGTCCGGCACAGCCCGGAACAGGGGACCTGTGGGCAGCCCTCAATGTGATCCCTGGCCCCGGGGAGCCCATCTTTTCTCCTAGCAGGTGTGTCTGTTTCCTGGGGGAGCCCTAAATCACCACAAGCTTGGCATCTTAAAGCAACAAAAATGTACTCTCTCTAAGATCTGGAGGCTGGATGTCTGGAATCAGCTCCTTCAGGAGCTCTGGGTGAAGATCCTTCCGAGGTCTTCTGCGCCTGGTGGCCCCAGGCTTTCTTGGCTTGTCGCTGCTTCGCGTTCTCCAGGGGTCATGACCTTCCCTGTATGAAGTCAGGTCTCCCTCTGCCTCCCCTGATAAGGACCTTTGTGATCACATTAAGGGCCTCCCCAGGTCATCCCGGACAATTACCCATCTGATTTCACCATATTCTACTACCAGCGCCAGCACAGGCTGGGGCGTGGGGCGGGGGGGGGGGGGGGGGCCTTGCCCCCCCTGGGCCCCCCCGGACAACCTGTGTCTGCTAACTGTCTAAGCTACACCCCTGGGGGGATTCTCTGGCTCATCAGGAAAGATCCCTTTAGGATTCATTATGAGTGACTTGAAGCCAGCTCTGCGATGGGCTCGGCGTGAGCAGGGATCCTGCCTTCTGCAAGCAAGTCCCTCCGGTGTAAGGGGCACCCGTGGGCTCGTGCCTCGCGAGCGGATCTGGCCTCCACGCGGCCTGCTCAGTCCGTGCTCCCTTTGCTTCCCAAGTGTGATATTCTACAATTTCGCGCAGCTATCATCAGGCTGAGTGGTTTTCATTATCACGGCCAGTGGCGGTCACGAGCCAGCACAGCCATGGCCAGCACGGCCCAGCACACAGGGAGCGAGGGCCACACCCGCTCCGGACAATGTGTCCTGCTCATCTTCCTCATGCACAGTCCCACGTCCCACAGGATACAATAAAGGCTGTCCTTACACACAGAAACACGAGAATGTGACCCATAACGACCACAATAAATATATTTTTAACTTCTCAACCGGCACACGAAACATTTTCAGCAGCAAATATGCTTCATAACATCAGGGTGGTGTCCCCGGTCAGGGGCTGGGAACTTCACCCACCCCCCTCCCCAGAAGGGCACCATAGGGCCAGGGCCCTGCAGCACCACACCCAAAGGGAACGCATGTCTGTGGCAACTTTGGGAAATCCGAAGTCAAGCAAATAAAATAATAATTTGGAAAGGAAAAAAGAAACAATGTAAGGAAAGTTGCCTGGTTCTAGGAAAAGTCTTTTTTTCTTCATAGTAAAATAAATCATTTATAAAGAGGAAGTGAGTCCTGTTGAAAAATACTTGAAATATTCTCTCAAGGGGAGAAAACAATTCTTCACCAGCTTGGCGGGCCCCTGGGCGGGGGGCTTCGTTCTCTGCCTGTCCTGAGCCAGCAGGGTCAATTCCTCGCGGGAAGCCGGGGCAGAGTGCCTGCTGCCAAAGGACAGAAGGAGGCTCGTTACCAACCCGGGCTCCGCACGGGCCCCGTGGGGGTGGGGGGGCACACCGGGAAGCCTGCGGTGCGTCTCACTAGGTAATCCAGAGGTCTCTAAGAGAAACATCCTTCGAAGACCTCGCCCATCTTGTGAGTCTTCCGGCCGGTGGTAGATGATAAGCAGTCCTGGCCGGTAGGGGACCAGATGGCCCCCGCACCTCCTGCTTCCCCCAGGGAGGAGCCGGGACACTGGCCCCACTCAGCAGGTCCACGTTCCGTGTGAAGAAGCCATTGCGGAGGAAACCCACATGGAAGAAAGGGCAGGACTCGGTGGGCAGGGCTGGTTAACTGCCCTGCGCATCATTCCCAAGGAATTCCTGTTCCCAAGACCCGAAATGGCACCAAGCCCGGCCCCCTGAGGGTCCTGAGGCTGCCTGTGCTGGAGGACCTGAGTATGGGGCTGGCGGGGGCAGAACACAGGCTGCCTGGCTCGCAAGCTGATGCAGGCGGTGGGACCCACGGCTTCTGGACACGGCAGCCGCCGCCACCCACCCCCGACCCCATCTCAGGCTCCCAGGCACCCTGCCGGAGTCGGGGAACACTTTGGGGTTTACTTTGGGGATTAAGGCCGCAAATGAGGAGGCAGAAACACGCAGTGCCCATCCCAGCGCCCCCCCCCCCAAATACCTCCCCAGGCCTGCCCTACTGCCTGAGGCTGTCTGTCCTGAGGTAGCTGCCAACAGTAAGGCAGCGACTGGGAGGCTCCCAGCCTGAAGGAAAGCGCCCATTTGAAGACGCTGCTTCCAGCTTTATCTCTGGGAACCAGCTGCCTCCCCGCTTCCCTGGGCACCTGCCGCCCCCAAGGGGGTGAGGTGGGGGAAGGGCAGTGAGAGAGGGCAGAGAGCAGAAGAGGCGGCCTGAGTCAGCTCGAGGCTTCCGGAAACCACACGTGGAATGCTGCCTCACTTGGGCTCCACCCGAACACAGAGCCAGGCTGTGGGCCTGGTAAGCGCCAAGGCTTGGTGGGCTCTGCCATGAGCACGTGCCACACTACAAGCTAGGGGCATGCTGGAATTGGGAGGTGGGTGGGCAGAATTTTCCAGAAACTCGCTGTCAGGAGGAGAAGACACGACTTCGCTTAGATCCTGTCAGTGTTGGCTCAACACAAGGGCAGGTGCCACAGGGCCCAGGGTGTGGGGGAGGGAGATGGCTGTGTCCTCAGGGGCTCCGGGGCACAGTGTGCAGGTAAGGACAGAGAGTGAGGGCAGGTGTCCTGGGAGCAGAAAGCTGTCCAGAGGAGTGGGGCCGGGGGGAGCAGGGGCTGGGGGTGTGCTGGGGGCCGGGAGGCAGACAGAATGTTCATGAGAAAGAACAGTCCCAAGAATGTTCAGGCAGCAGAGAAGGGGTACGTGTGAAGGCCCAAGGCATGGTGTGTTTGAGGGACTGTTGTTCAGGACAGCCTAGAAACGCACTGTGGTGAGCTTGTGTTACCGTGTGTGTGAACCTGTGTGTGAATGGGTGTGAGCAGGTGGGTGTGAGCGTATGAGCAGGTGTATGGATGAGTGTGAGCAGAGGACTATGAGTTGTGTGAGCATGAGCAGCTGTGTGTGAGCAGGTGTGATTTGTGAATGAACGTGAGCAGGTAGGTGTGAGTGTGAGCAGGCATGTGAATATATGTGAGCAGGTGTGGGTGTGTGAATGAGTGTGAGCAGGTGGGTATGTGAGGTGTGTGGATGTGAACCTGTGTGTGAGCATGAACAGGTGTGTGAACGAGTGTTAGCAGGTGGGTGTAAGTGTGTGAACAAGCATGAGCTGAATAGGAATGTATGAGCAGGTGTGTAAATGAATGTGAGCAAAAGACTGTGAGTTGTGTGTGAGCTTGAGCAGGTAGGTGTAAGCATGAGCAGCTGTGAGATGTGATGTGTGAAAGAATGTGAGCAGGTGGGTGTCCGTGTATGCACAAGTGTGTGGATGAGTGTGAGCAGGTGTGTGTGTGAGCAGATAGGTGTGAATGTGTGAACAGGTGTGGGTGTGTGAATGTGTGAACAGGTGTGGGTGTGTGAATGAGTGAGCAGATGGGTGTGTGAGCAGGCGTTTGGGTGAGTGTGAGCAAGTGGGCGTGTGTGAGTAGGTATGTGAATATGTGTGAGCAGGTGTGGGTGTGTAGGTGAGTGGGAGCAGATGGGTGTGAGTGTATGAGCAGGTGTGTGAATATGTGTGAGCAGGTGTGGGTATGTGAGCAGATGGGTTTGAATTATGAACATGTGTGGGTGTGTAGATGAGCGTGAGTGTGAGCAGGCATGCGAACATGTGTGGACAGGTGGGTGTGAGTGTGTGAGGTGTGGGTGTGTAAATGAGTGTGAGCAGGTGGTCTGCGAGCAGGCGTGTGGATGAATGTGCGGTGTGTGAATATGCGTGAGCAGAGGGGCGTGAATGTGTGAGCAGGTGTGGGTGTGTGGATGAACGTGAGCAGGTGGGTGTGAACGTGCGAGCAGGTATGTGAATATGTGTGACCAGGTGTGGGTCTGTGAGCAGATGGGCGTGAATGTGTGAGCAGGTGTGGGTGTGTGGATGAGTGTGAGCAGGTGGGTGTGAGTGTGTGCAAGTGTGGGGTGTGCAGGGCAGGGCAGAGCTCCAAGAGGCCGGGGCTGGGACTCCAGGGCGCAGGTGGCCAGGTGACACGTGTCTGGGAGTGTGGACTTCCTTCTCAGGACTCGGGAAGCACCACAAGGTCCGGAGGGAAGCACCTCAGACAGCCTTAGTGCAAGAAGCTGGGGAGAGGTCCTCAAAGTGGGAGCGGGCCTTCTGACCTTGAGCATGCCCAGAATTTTGGGGGCAGACCAAAGGCCTACCAGACAAAGCCCCTGACCTGGGCACAGCAATGTGTTCTCAAACTTGCGTTTCTGTGGCGAGCCTGACGCTGGACCAGCGCCCCCCACCCCCACCCCCAGCTCCCACGGGCCCTGGAACGCACAGGGAACCTTCTCACAGCTGGGATGTTGCTCCACACATGCACGGCGTTCTGGACGGCCCGGCCGCAGACGTCCTGGATGGTCACCGGGTCGGCCTGAGGGATGGAAACGTCGGCTGGGGATCAGGGTGACGACCTCTGCCCCCCACAGTGCCCACAGGCCTCAGCCACCATGGGCACCACGCCGGGCCTTCCCAGACCGTGTCTCGGGCAACCTTGCTTATGTGTCACATCTGTTTTCCTTTATGACCTTATGAGGAAAAGAGGCTGAGATCTTATCGTAAAACTTTTAACCAGTAGATTTTCCCTTTTTTCATTCCCACAGGTCACAGGGGCAGGAATTCTCCACCCGCTCCAGCTCAGAGGTGGAGTCCCCTGAAGGATAAAGATGTCCTTGGTCTTTGAGCCAAGACTGTTCTGCTTCAGGAAGATAAGAGGCTTTGCTGGCAGACAGAGAGTTTTCTGAAGGGCCGGGGCCTTGGGAGCCAAGGAGGCTGCCTGGTGCCTGGCTCCTGGAGTCCCAGTCTCCCTAGAAGGCCCCGAGAGGATGGGGCGGGGGTGGGAGGGAGGCGGACCTTCCACCGATGGGAGGGGGAGCCAGGGAAGGGAGGGGGCACCGAAACTGAGGCGAGAAGCCACGCAGTCCCTGACACACAACAGGAGACAGGCCCCCGCGTGGGCTCGGGGGGCCGGAGGGGTCCCATGTGGACTGCTCCTGAGCCCAAGTGCTGTGGACACAGCCGCCTCTTCCTGTATCCAGACACCTGGCTGGGAGAGACACCCGATGGCCGCTTGTGCCACATGGACAGATGTTTGTGTGATTTATCCCGCAGAACCCACCCCCGGGGCGTGCACAGGCAGGCCGAGGAGCGGTGTTTGTGAGACTCGCGCTGCGCGAATAACCTGGGGAGCCTGGTTATTTACAATATATGATCCGGCCTCCAGGCCAGAACTGGCCCTTCTGCTCTGGACACCAAGGGCCACGAATCTTGTCTCAGGTCCCCTGCTGCTCCAGGCTGGGCTGGACCCCAGGATGGAATCCCCGAGGGGAGGCAGACACACGCAGCCCAGGCTCCTGGACGATATAGAAACACGAGAACACAGAAATGCAGCGCACTCCAAACGGCACGTAGGTGCGCCAACGTTTAACCTCAGACCCCGTCACTGGCCCCATAAGTACGGCCCTTATGGGGATGGTCAGCGGGAAGTCTCAGCTGCGGGGAG